GCCCAGCAGGTGCATGCTGGCCACGTCGGCGCTGCTGCGGGCGGCCGCCAGGGTCACGCGCCGAGGGTCCCCGCCGAGTGCCCCGATGTGGGTCTGCACCCAGGTCAGAGCCGAGACCTGGTCCAGGAGACCCCAGTTGCCGCTCACCTCGCTGGACCCTGCAGAAAGAAGAGAGATGTTTTGACTCTGTGACTGTGCCACTTGGATTTAACTATCATACTGTGGCCGAGGCCAGTCTTGCCCACCAGGTCAGGACTGCCGTCCACGCGAGGGCCGGTGGCGAGCGCAGGCCTCGGGGCAGCCCAGCCAGTGGCTGCGGCTCAGCCTCGCCGGCGTGAGGAGCCAGCCGTGAGAGGTCCTGCCTCAGAGCTCTGCCTCCGGGCCGGACAGATGCCGACGTGGCGAGGCGGGAGCTAGCGTGGCTGCTGCCGTCGGCCACGGACAAGCGGGACACGTGGTGGAGGATTCGGACCTCCTGCCCGCTCCACGTCTCTCCCCCGCCCACGACCAGGCCTGCGGGGCTCTGGGCCCGGTCCCTCCTGCTCACCCTCCCAGACCATCTTGGCGGTCCATGTCTCCCTCCTTCATTCAGAGAACTCAGTAAATACGTGTCCACGGTCTGGCAAAATTTTATGAATTAAATGCTTCAGACACACAGAAAGTGTGGCCAAACAGGCTGGGTCCCTGGTGTCCTGGGACAGCACAGGCCACGGCCCTGATTCCACTGTCCTCCCGCCAAGCCAGGCCCCGTCCCCTGAACCGGGACTCCCCTGCTCCCTGGCTTTGATCTAGGGGACACCAGCGATCAGGGCTTCAGGCGGCCCCCCACAGGGGACTGGAGGTGCGCCCAGCCGCCCCCTCTTCCCTCAGGTGCCTGTCTCGGATGCGTTCAGCCCACAGGAAGAAGCTCTGCCTCCTGGCACCACCCATCTGCCCCCCGAGGCTTCCCCGACACCCCTGTGCTGCTGCACCCCACTCTTTCCCCAGAGGCTGCAGCTCCCCCACGCTCCCACCTCTGCCATCCCCAAGCTCCCCGCTGGCCTCCTGCATCCTCACGTCCCTCCCTCCAGTGGACCCGGCCCTGGACTTCTTGTTTTAACCGCGACTCTGTCCCCCTCTCACACACGTGCACGCCCACACACGTGCACCCCTGCTGTGTGTGACACACATCACCGTCACGGTGATGGAATGAATGGGTGCACACAAGCACTCACACCCATGCACCCCATTTACATACGCTGGCACACTCACTGCCCCCCCCGCCCCTTCAGCACAAGGCCTCAGTTGTCCAGCATGGCTGAGGCCTGGGGGACAGGCTCACCCCTGCTGCCGGCCTCTCCTGTGCCTGGGCTTCAGCCACCCAGGCCTATCAGTTGCTCACAGGCACGAGCCCACCTCTCCCAGGCCCACAGGAGGCCCGTGGGCTTCCCACCCCTGGCTGGGCCGTGCCCTCGGGCCCAGCCACCCTCAGGTCTCAGCTCCGCATCGGCCCATGAGCCCCCAGGGACACAAGGTTCCCTTCTGGGCCTGTGTCACCACGATCTTCCTGCCAGACTGCCGTGGTGCCAAAGCCCTCAGCGCACAGTAGGTCCCCAGGAAACAGCAGGTGCCGCAAGACCAGAGTGATGATGAACAGCACTCCGTGTCCACGAGCAAGACCCCCTGTTCCCACATAGACAAGTCCTGCATCCAATTCCCAGAGCACCCAAGGACTCCAGCGTGGAGTCACAATATCTCTGCCAGCGGGGGAGATTTTCAGAATTTCTGCAAATGCCTGACATGTTCTGGAAGTGCTGGAGACATCGCCGCAGGGTGCAGCTGGGGAGCCTGTGTCAGGGTGAACGTGCCTGTCTCCAGGCCGGAAGCCAAGAGCCGGCTGAGGATCGGCCCTCCACATCCAGAAGGTGACGCCCACGGCTGCGTTTCAGTGACAACAGGTGGGGGCACCCCCACTCTCACACCCCTAGATCAGCCTCCCAAAGCCCAGGGTTAATGGGATTCTGACGACACCCCCACTGGACAAGCCCCAACGGGGCCCCACCTCCCGTCGGGCAGCCACAGCGAGCGGACAGACGCCCTGAGCCTGTCAGGGTTCCGGCCAGACCTCTCCCCAGCACTCCTGGCCCTCTGCTCCTGCGCGATGCCCGCTCTCGTGCATGCGTCCCTCCGGCCGCGCCCCCTGCCCCCACCCGCTCACAGGTCAGGCAGTCGGGGCCCAAGTGAGCTCCTTGGAAAACAGGGGCCCAGGACTGCAGCGGAACTTCCCGCTTCAGGGGGGAGAAAACTGAGCGTCGGGAAAGGAAGAAGGAAGGATCTTGTCGCAGCTCCTGGCCTGCCCGTCCCACCAGTGGGGGTGCAGATGGAGGAGCTGGAGGGGGCACCGGGATCTGTCCACACCTCAGTTCTGTGAGGAACAAGGGACAGGCGGTGGCCACAGAGACTGGCAGGAGGCTCTACCGACGCGGCCCTGGCTCAAGGAGACGGCCCCCGTGCGCCAAGCACCCCGAGCTGTAGAGGGGTCCCGGCTCTGCTCCTACCCGAGCAGGCGAAGCCCAGCCTCCAGGGGCCCCACACACGTGTGCACACACCACACACACACCGCGTCCTATCTCACACTCAGCCACACGCGCATCACCGGCTGAAACACAACGTCCTAGGAACAGCTTCGCGCACGCAGTAAATTCCACACACGGCGACTCCCTCTGTCTGCTGTGGGCCTCCTGGCCAGGGGGCACCCCGAGTTCCCAGCTGGGTTAGGGGGGACCAGAGCTCTGAAGAGGAGGGGCCCTGGTCACGCACAAAGGGGAGCCCGAGGGGCAGCCGTCCCGCCAATGCCCGGGCTTACCGGAACTCAGGAAGCCAAAGACGCCCACTCGGTAGCTGGCGGTGACCACGATGAGGTTGCCCACAGCGGCCAGGAGGGCTCCGTCGAGGCCCGGCAGCCCCCCACCCGCCCCGGCGTTGTGGAAGAACACCAGCACCGAGGCGTTGGGGGCCTGTGGAGGTCGGAGAATGCGGTGCTAGAGGTGTCACCCCCAGAGCTGGACCCCAGAACCGGACCTGTGGCCCTTGTTCACCTGACAGACCCAGACACAGAGGCCGAGTCAGCTGTGCACGAGGCACGGTTGTGGGGGCTCGGAGCGGCCACGGGGGGGCCCATGAAGGCGGCGTGGAGGCCTCAGCCACTCGGCTCTTCCCGAAGCCAAGCGCCGCCGGGACAGTGCCCAGAGCAGAGCCTGAGCTGCCGCCGCCGAGGAGGGGACAGCATGAGGGCAGCGCTGTGGGCGGGGACGAGGGCTCTAGAACTCACCAGGTTCTGGGGGACAAACACGTCGAGGTACAAGCAGTCCTCGCTGACCCCCGGGGTCGCGCGTGGCCTGGCGCCGGGCTGCCAGCAGCTGGCCCTGCGAAGACAGCCCGACTTTCAGGGAACAAGCAGCGGCAGAGGACTCCCTCCCCGCCGTCCACGGCACCATGGCACAGGGCCCCTGCTGTGGCCACTGGGGTTAGGGCCGTGGGAGACGGACGTGGCGGCGATGCAAAGACGAGCAGGTGCCTGTCCCTGCGTCTGGCCTGGGCAGGACCACGCAGGTCAACGTTAAGGCGCAAGTCAAAGATGCCGGACCAGCGACACGTGGGACATCGGTCCTTCCTGGCTCCAGGTGTGCAGACTACCGCTGGCCGGAACGCCACACTGCTCTCTCCATCAGCACCGAGCCCGAGGGGGCCCTTTCCTGGCACCAGCGCTGAGAGCCCAACGGGGGTCTGCCCAGAGGGCACGTGCCTCAGCCCCGAGTCTCATCTGCACTGGACGGTGAGCCAGGCTCTCACTACTCTCCACCCACAGCCCCTCAGCTGACCGGCGGGCACAGCCGCACCTGGCACAGCATCTTGCTGCTGTGGCTGCTGCTTTCACTCCCCCGGCTGGAGAGGTCCCCACAGCTTCCTGCACTTCTACATCTGCCGTCCCGTCCTCCCTTAAGCCTCATCATCCCTTGCCTGGAGGAACCCAGAGCCTCCTCACTCACCACTCTTCCCGTCCATGGGCCTGAGCCACAGACCCGGACAGAAGGGCAACTGGGAGGAGAGGAGAGTGGGGTCCTCTGTTCATGAGTATCCCAAACATGCTCAAATTTAAAAAAATCACAAAATCTTTCCCAGAATGGCAACTGTTTCAAATGGTGTCTGCCCGGGAAGGAATGGGTGAACTGATGCTGTCGACCTGAGTTGATGAGGGGAGGAAGTAAGATGTGCCTGTTCCCTCCCCACTATTTTTGAAAATTTCTTTTGACCTTATCCCTTTGGGGGAACAAATGCACTTGACAAGAACTTTTTCACTAGCTCCAGTGCTTTTCCTTCTCTGTTGTACACTCAGCCCACTGAAACTCAGCATGACATGGAGGTGAGTGACCATGCCTCCCCTGAAGGTGTGGTCCATGGGAAACACCTCCCCCACCCCCTACCGCAGGCTCCTGCCTAGCCTTTGTTACGGATGCAATGGCCAAAGGATCCTGCTTGAGAGGCAGCGCCCCGTGCTCTGGGTCCCGAGTCACTGCATGGAGCAGAGTCCACTGCTCCATCACCAAATGGACTTCCCAGGGGAAATGTAGCATTGAGTAACTGATGCTGGGAGAGCCTTGGCCACCTTCCCCAGGACACTCCTCGCCCACTGTGCCACTGCGGCATCAAGTGTCACTTTGAGGGATTAGGAGGGCTAGGGCATCTCTGGCCGTTCACCCAGTGACACTCCCCCTAACACTTACCGTGGCTGGGTGGCATCCCAGGATCCTGTCCAGTTCGAGGGTTCCGGGGCCCGGAAGCGCCTCTCTGCCAGGGGTGGGGCCGCATAGGGAACACCCAGGAACTGGTCCACTTGCCTCCATGAAGTGCCCACCTGGATGGCCTGGGACCTGCCCAGCAGCTGCCCGTGGGTGGCGACGGTCACAGAAGGCGCAGACAGGCCAGAGCCGAACAGAGGGGTGTCTGTGGGAGGGAGTTGGGTTGGGAGAAGGGGGGAGTGTTCAACTCACAGGGATTCAGAATACGCTTGAAGAAACAGAACCATGTCTTCTCAACTTAAAAAATGTTAGTGATGCATTCAGTACTGGTCTAGTCCAGTTAGCGTTCCAGGTGAACTACAAAAATCAAGAGCCAAGAGCCAAGGCCGCCGATCTCTCCCAGCTGGTGAGGATGCGCAGCACCGCCCTGTCCGCAGCCTGTCACCGCGCCGGTTCCCCCCAGAGACTAACCCGGGCCAGGGGGCAAGAGCCAGGGCTCAGGACTCGCGGTGCGGCAGCCAGTGCTCAGGGAGTCTGGGGCCGGGCATGGAGCCTGGTGCTCAAACGCAGCCGCTGAGTGAGGGGAGGCGGCGGTGATTCACGAGCAGAGGAGAAGACAAAGGCATAATTTCTTCATGCCAAGTGAGAACTTTCCACCGAACAAGTTTGCTTTCCCTGCCGCCCCCCATTTTTGTTTTAATTTTGAATTTCAGAATTGCAGGTAAACAACTGGGTACTTGTCTTTCACTGGGGAGGAAATAGAATTCAGGGCCCAGGAGGGCGGGATGCCACCTGCATCTCAAGGTGGCTCAACGCCATACCCACCTGGACCCCAAGTCTGCCCACCTGCCTTCACACAGGTCAGGCTGGGGTTCCGCTCTGGCCTCTGCTGCCCCTTGGCGCAGGCCAGCCAGGGCACCCACCTCCCCTGCCCGGCCCAGCCCCTCCTCGTCATGCTGATGCCCATCCTTGCCACCTGCAGCCCTGTCTTATCTCCTCTACCACAGGGGCCTTACCCCAGAGACAATAACCCCAGTGGGCTCTGGCTCAGGGCCAAAGCCACGTCACAGGACCCGAGACATGCCCCGTTCACGCAGGGAACAGCCAGCACAGATGAAGAGGCCCCCCTGCCCCCGCCCCAGGGCCCTGGCGCCTCTCTGTGCCCCAGTGACATCGCGTCCAGAGCTGCCCGGCCCTCAGAGACTCGGTACAACACAGTGGCCCGCTCGAGCTGGTTCTGTCGCCGGGAACACGGGGCGAGGCTCGGAACACTGCTGCTTGTCAAAGGTGGGGAGAGGCTACTGGCCTCTGTGGGGCGCAGGCTGGGGTGGCCACTACACATCCTGCAGTGGACAGCCCCCCATGAAGAGTTACAGGACCCAAAAGCCAGCAGTACAGTGCCAGGGTGGCGTCCAGCTTGCAGGCCACTGGGGGCGAACCGGTGGGTGGCCAGGGTGGGGCGTGACGCCGACCTGTGGTATGTTAAAGACCCTTTACTGTGGGGAACCTGCAAATAGGAACCACGGCCGTCTCTCCAGTGCGAAGACCCCAGGGCCACGTGCTCTTGGCCTGCAGCGTCCTAAGCCCAGTGCCTGGCCACTGGCCGACTGGCCACGTGACCGAGGGAAGGATGAATGATGAGCGGTTGAGGAAGGCAAAGAGGAAAGGAGGGAGGGAGGTGCTCTGTGCAGACACCAGCACGTGGGTCAGACCCAAAAGGGAAACTCAGAAGGAGTTAACAGGAAACGGCCGCTGCCTTTCAGCCTGGCCTCCTACAGGAGGGGTGTCTGCAGTCAGCCGAGGTCCTTCTCACACGGAGGAATCCAAGTCCCGGGGCCAGGCGCCTTCCCTCGTGGGTGCTGAAGTAGCGGAACCTTGGAGCCGGTTCTCTGGCTCATTTTCCCGGCAGGGAACAGCCCCATGCGTGAACGTGGCACCATCCAAAGGGCGGAGGGGGGAAGGTGGAAAATGTAAAAGCCAAAGAATTTCGAGGGAATGCAAGAGCATTTTCCCAGGCGCACTGGGCCGCGGCCTCCTCCAGAGGCTGATGAAACCCAGCCTGGACGCCAGCAGCATAAGGACAGCGTTAGATGGAATTCTCCCTGCGGAGTCCTCTGCAAAAACGGAGGCTTCTTTCCAGAATATCCGCATGCGGAGGCCATGGGACTCCGGTTCAAAAATTCTTGGTAGCTGTGAGTGCACCTGGGCTATGCACGAGTCTACACAGACCCGGTCTTCGGCCACGGGGAGCGTTTGCCACTGAATTCCAGACCCGCGGCCCTATGAGAGCAGCTGGCTCATGGGGTTCCCAGGGCCAGTGATGGCGTGGCTGCCACGTGGGTCAGCGGCTGTGCTGCTGAGACGCCCAAGCCCATCTGACTTGACTGAATCGAGTCAATGCCCGGAGCAGACAGGCCTTGAGTTTGAGAGCCCAAGACTCCAACACAGAGATCAAAATGTTCCAGGCTGGAAACACTCTTGGTGTGAAGGCCTAGGTGGTGGAGGGGGCGGAGAGAAGCCGGTTCTCGCTAGGTCAAGACAAGCCCGAGGCCCCCTGATGGAGCCAAGGCCCTCTTGGCTTTATACTCGAGGTTGTATCGGCACACAGCCATGACAGTGAGGCGTGGCCCCAGGCTGGCTTCCTGCCACCACAGCACAGGGTAGTCAGGAGGCCCCCGGGGTAATTGCCATCTGGCCTTAGCAGAGAACGTTTGCAAACTGCGTTCTAGAGGATGAAATGGCAGACCTGGCCAACGTATTTAAAAAGCCATCAGTTTCATCCAGTAACCGTGTCTCGTGAGGGAGGTGAGACCCCCAAGCCCCAGTCCCCTGCTTCCTGTCCCGCTGCTTTTACAGATTTCACGCAGGGTGGATTTATAAGCTGCGCTCTGCTGGCTGCTTCACCTCTGCAGCCCCAACACCTGACACAACGTCTGACATAATGGCCCCTTCCTGGATGTTTTTAAATTAAAGTGAAGCAGAAGCAGCTGCCCTCCCCCGCACCCCCCCCCACACACACACACAGGGCTCGCCATGGGCGGTCAGGTGTTGGAACTCAGGAGACCTGTCTCTGTCCCTGTGCTGTGTGCGCTCAGAGAAGTAAATCAGCCTCTCTGGGCCAAAGCCTCCTGATCGCCACAGCAGGAGGAGGAGAAGACCCCCCTCTTGCCGCCTCATGGGGCCAAGGTGAGGACCAAGAGACATTAGGCACCTCAACAGGCACCAAGCACTTCATACTTTTCCTAAGGACCTCGAAGGCTAAAACTCCTTCTGTAACTTCAGGGAATAAAGAAGAAAGGCTGCCCAGAGAAAGCTTAAGATAGAGGCCCTCCCTGGTGGCACAATGTTAAAGCGCAGCACTACGAAGCAGCAGTTTCAGCAGCAGTTTGATTCGCGGCCAAGGAGGTGACCCACATTGCACGACTCTCCTGACCCGCCCGCTGCTCCCCTCAGCAGTGGGCTTCCTCGATCTGCCTGTTCTGCTCCCCACTGTCTCTGGTGACTCCTCTCACTGGCCCGCTCCTCTGGCCTGTACTCCAGGTCTATATGCATAAATACATCTTTTTAAAAAAAAAAAAAAAGTCAAACTTGGAAGTAAGGTTTCTACCTTCCTCGTCCCTCCAGGATAATTTTCACAGACTTTCCCTAAGAACCTCGAACGTCGCTGCCCACAAGCTACCTCCTGCTCAGAGGGTCCCACCCAGGCCCCAGAAGGGCCACAGAGGTGCAGGCCTGCACTTACTGGGCTTCCGGTAGATGTGGGTGGCGTCCTCGCGGAGCAGAAGCCGGCAGTTCTGGGCCCGCAGGCTGTGCGCGCACCTCTGGGTGTCCCCGTAGAACACACACCGCACAGCGCCAGGGCGGGTCTGCAGAGTGGTGACGCGGCAGGCCTCGTGGCGGGAACACTCTACGCGCGGCGGGAAGAGACGAGGCTGCGTCTCACAAACGTCACCCCGGCATGCGTCCACCAGCCATGCACCCATGAATGCAGACCCCACTCCAGCCACGCATCTATCCCATCGTGTGTCCACGGATCGGCGAACGTCGACCCACCCACCCCGCCATCCTAAGATAACTGGGGTGCCTGCCAGGAAGGAGTGAAGTGGGGGAGAAGACCCCCGGTGGGCTCTCCTCTGCAGTCTCCTCTCTGTGAGCTCAGCCAATAGAGAAGGACCCCAAGGCAGGCAGCCACCCCCCCCCCGCCCCAGCGTGAACCCATGCATCCTGGAGTGTACCCACACGTGCGTGAGCTGGTCGGATTCATTGGCTCACCTACTGTACCTCCCAGGCTAGAGGCTGGGGGTGAACTGAAGGTTATGCTGGGGCTTGTGCTAGAGGCTGGGGGTGAAGCCATGGTGACAGGGAGCCCAACCCTACCATCAGTCTATTTTCCAGACAACAATCAACTTTGGGTCATTTATTCAATTAGCAAAGGTGTTCTCTCCCTTGGTTAAGGTGCCTCGGTGACCTCCCACTGGCCTCAGGACGAAGCACACCGCAAGGCTTCCCATGTTCTCATCACTGCCTTCCTCTTCAGCATCATCTCCCTGGGCGCCTCCCTCATCACGCCCACCACGTTTCGCCAGGGCTATGTCCTTTACCATGTGTGTCAGGCCCTGCACTGGACAATTTAAATGATTCATGAGCGCCGGGTATTCAGTGCTAAGAACAGCTCGGAAGAGAGCATGGCTTCACGTGACTGAGCCGTGTGAGCACTAGCGGCCTTCTCAGAGGCCTGTGTGCCACGCAGCTCGTCCGCGGTGACCCCGTCTGTGAGATGCTCAGGCTGTTCTCCAACTCTGTAGGAGAGGGGGCTCAGAGACTCTCGGAAGTGGAGGAGTGAGTATAAAAGTTCCTAATGTGGCCCTCCCTGGTGGTGCAGCAGGTTAAAGCACAACACAAAGAAGCTTAAGCCACTTCAGCATGAGTTCGATCCCCGCCTGCCCCGGAGGTGACCACATGGCGTGGCAGACCTCTCCTGACCCGCCCGCTGCTCCCCTCAGCAGTGGACTTCGTCGATCTGCCTGTTCTGCTCCCCACTCTGTCTCTGGTTAATCCTCTCACCTTCTGCATCTCTGGCCTGTAGCCTTGTTCTGTACGAATAAATAAATAAATCTTTTAAAAAAACAAAGTTCCTAATGTGAAGTCCGTTCAGACGCTGAAGTCTTTGTAGAGCATTCATGTAAACTGACCAAGTGGCCTTTACATGAGTGACCGGGAGCCCTCCCGGCAAAGCTTTGCCAAAATAGAAAGTTCTTCCTAACACTGCATTACAAATCTTGAAATTTGGAGTTTCGCCACTAGTCTTGCTCTGCCTCAAGACCGCTCAGAGCTTCCTCCTCAACGAGACAGTCCTCCCTGAACGTGGACAGCGGTCACAGCTGCCCCAGGTTACCCCCACGTCCCTCTCTGCTCTCCCTCACTTTCTGGCTGGCACAGCCCACTGCAGACCTTGACCGTGAGGGGCGGGGGGGCTTCCTTCCACAGTCCACGCCCCTAGCTCCACTCCCTCCTGCCAGGATCCCCAGGTTTTCGTGGAGCCTCACAGGTGTTTCTGAGGCCACAATCTGGACACATACAGGTGTGAATGAAGCCTCCTCCCAATCACATCCCATGTGGGCATGGGAATTCCCCTTACCCAACAGACAGAGGTCACGGGCAGCAGAGAAGTCGCTGGGCGTGGAAGTGCTGACGTGGACCACATCCAAGCTCCTGGTGGACAGGTCAATGACGGCTGAAGAGAGGTCCAGCGACTGCCACGCGTCCAGAGTGACTAGGGGAGAAGGCAGGGAAGGTTAGCCACACCGCGCTCACTGGGTGTGAGGGCAGCCATGTCACCCAGCGCCCCAGGGGCCTCCAGGGCCCTCCTCGTGGCCTCCACTCCCACAGGAGTCCTTCCTTTATCCTACGCTCCATCCCACGAGAGTTTTTATGAGCCAAAAATATATCCACAGGGTGTGTCTGTGGCGGGGGAGGGGGTGGGTGGCTTTGTTTCTGATAGCACCAAGCTCTCGGCTCTACCAAAAGCCAAGCACCTGTATCCAACCTGTCCCTCACCACCTGAAACACAGGGGGTCACTAGTTCGGCAGTCAGTAGAGTAGAGAACAACCTGTACTCAAAGGCCAGAGAGAGAGGGGGGAATGGTTATCCAGAAAAGCCACCACATAACATAATTACACAGCCCGGCAATAGGCGGTGAACCCCCACACTGGTCCGGGAGCCGTGGAGACACCCTCAGAGTCAGGGCTGTCTCCTGAGGGGCCCCGGCCTCCCTGCCGAGACCCCCGGCTGCGCCTCCTTAGCTTCCTCGCTGACGCTATTTTCAGCACCAGCCCTGGGCACATGGTGGCTACGCCAGTGGCGCGGGGAGTTCCAGAAGGCACGTGCACTGCAGTGTCAGTGCAGATGTGCCAGGACTTGAGGGGTTCACTTGCCTGGTAGGGCCCGAAATGGAAGCCTGGGCCTCGCCCCATGTTCAGGGGGATGTCTGGGAAAAGGGTGAAGTGCATCTGCAAAGTGAGGGCGGCTGTCTGTTCTGTCACCACTGGGGACCCGGAGCCAAGTCTCTGCCACAGCCCCCGCCTGCCCCTCCCCTCAGCTGGCTGGACCCCCTGGGGCGAGCTAGTACTGTCCTGCAAATCCAACACCAGGGTTCACGCAGCTCATGAAAATTCTTGAGAACATGTTTCTGCAAATGCAAAAATGGGGTGGAGCATGAGAAGAGGGGGGAGCTTGGCAGCATTCTGGCAGAGCTCACTATTTGCCCAGAGCCCAGCAGCACCACGGCACTTGGCACTGAGGGCGCCACGTGGGCCACGTGGGCTGCGCGCCACATAGGCCACATCTACCAGGCCACGAGCGCCACGGCTACTGGGCCACGAGCGCCACGCCACACAGCCGCGGAGCCAGGCGGGCACACACAGCCGGGTGCTCACACGGGCATCGGGCCAGGCCAGGCCCAGGCTCGACTCAGGAGCCCGCACAGCTCCTCGCTTCCCCCCAGACTCCCCTAAGGCTGAATCTGCCCCCAAACCTCATCTGCAGTTTCGTGAATAGTTTTCATTTTAGTTTGTTTTCTTCTGTTTAAAATATATTTTGTAGCTTGCAATGTCAGCAACACTTCCTGGGAAAAATCATTTCCCTCTGAATTCAAAGTGCCGAGCTGGCGCCTAGTAATCACACATGCAAATGCATGTTGCTTGGTGGTCGCTGCTTTCCTCGCTCTTCTCTGGCAACGTGTCAGCAGCTCTGCTCTCCTGATGCTTAAAAGCAGTCACGTCAGTGCATGGAACCATGTCACGCTCGTGTGCTTAATGCATGCGGACAGAACGCAGCGTATAGCCTGCTGTGAAAGTCGCCCGAAGTTATTTCTTGCCTCCTCTTGGTAGTTCTATTCATGTTGAGTACTTATTATGTTTGGCTCATTATCCAAAGCCATTTGTCATGTTTTAATGAAGTTCCTTTGGGATATCCATTAGCATATTTCTAAAGTGAACAATGCACTTGAGAAAAAGACCTCCCCAGACCACAGAGGCATTCTCCCCAAGGCCACAGGCCTCTCCCCAAAGCCAGGCCACAGCCGCCAGCATGGTGAGAGCTGCGCGTGTCCCTGTGCTCCGTGTCCGCTGTGCTGAGGGCCGCCTGGGCGTCCTCCCGGATGCAGGGTGACAAGCCAGCCTCCTTGCAGGGAGCACGCGCACACCCTTGACCCGGCCCCGCCGCTGTGATGGTGGCGCAGCTTGCTGCCTTTCACGCTGCGGAGACAAGCGCGTTCAACGCAGCACTAAGGCCTTGGAGGACCGGTCTTGGAGGCAGGTGCCCCGGTGTGTGCAGAGGGGAAACAGGGCTTGCAAGGAAGTGAAACCCAGTGGCCTCGCGGTTCACGCTGCCCCTTCCCTCTGGGACCAGAGACCCTAGAGACAGGGCTCCCTTCGGGCAGACAGAGAGCTTACACACGCCATCAGCAACTCTGCCCAGCCATCTTCCAGCGCAGTGAGCAACCCCGCCCACTCCACAGACAGGCAAGCGGGGCCCAGAGGGACTGGCTGAAAGCCACACAGCCGAAGGCGGCAAGTCTGAAACCAAAGCCGGTGACCTGACAGAGCAAAACAACCTGGCAGACACCGATAACCGAAATGAGGCTGAGGCGAGGGCAGGGAAGACCCAGGGGTGGGGACAAAAATACAAGGGGTTGCATTGAAAAATAAACCTAATTTTGGGGCGCATTTTTTAATTAAAAACACTTTGTCTTGGGCCCTCCCTGGGGGCGCAGCGGGTTAAAGCACTGCACTAAGAAGCTGAAGCCACTTCCGCATGAGTTCGATCCCCACCTGCCCCGGAGGTGACCACATGGCGTGGCAGACCTCTCCTGACCCGCCCGCTGCTCCCCTCAGCAGTGTGCTTCATCGATCTGCCTGTTCTGCTCCCCACTCTGTCTCTGGTGAAGCCTCTCACCCTCTGCATCTCTGGCCTGTACCCAAGTTCTGTACGAATAAATAAATAAATCTTAAAAAAAAAACAAACAACACTTTGTCTTTTTACAAATAAGAACGCAGTTTTTGGAGGGGTAGTGCCATGTGCCCTGGTCCAGGTGTCTAGTTAGTGGCAAAGCTTGGCTGGAATCAAATCTGGCTTCAGAGCCACTCGCTTCCACCCCTGTGTGGGTCCCCACAAATGTTATGTTAATGCCAAGTGCAGGCGGCACTGCTTTAAGCAAAAGCATGTCAATTTTCTCAGGGCAAGCACCCTATTAGTCTGGAGCCCCCCGAGGAACAGAGCAAGCAGTGTCTCCCCTCCGCCCCCCACCCCCGCCCCCCAGCCAGCCAGCCATCTGGAGACAGGTTAGCGGAGTTGGCCCTGGGGCTTCGGTGGAGGGGGCTGAGGCATGAGCACCTATGGAGGTGTGAGGCTGTGCCCCCCAAGGTATATCTCTGCACACATCAGTGACATTTGAAACAATAAATTGCAATTAAATTTTTTACAAAAGGAATGAACTCACGTGATCACCCAGATCTTCAGGTGAATTGTCAAAAACAGAGCAGCAGGTCAGTGTCGGAGCCTAGGACAGGCCTGCGGTGCTAAGCCCACTAGGTGGCTGAGGGAGGGGTGCAGGGGGAGGGCCAGCAGAAGGCAGCAGAGGGAAGTGGGCAGCTTGGGGCCTCCACGACGCAGCGTCGGCAGGCTCTGGGGACAGCATGTACCTCTGGTCCTTCCAGGAGGCTCTGTGCGCTCTTTCAAAGACAACTAAGGTAAATACGCACGTGTGTGTGTGCGTGTGTGTGCGTGTGTGTGCGTATGTGTGCGTATGTGTGTGTGTGATTATATACAGATATCATTAGAATTTAGAATGGATTTGAAAATTTTCCATCAATATACAGAAGAAAACGAGAAATTCCCTTTCTGCTTCTTCCTTTCCTCCTGCCTCCCTTCATTCTCAGACATCAGTCACAAGAGGGAAGGTTTCATTTTCATTTCAAGGCTTGCACAGAGTAATTCCAGCCACTAGAAATAGCTAAAACCCACGGAACCGCAAGGTCATGCTAGCACCACAGGGAAAGGGCCCAGCTGGCTGGCTGGCTGGTAATCAAGGGCAGCTCTGTGCTGGGCGCACATCTCTTCTGTGAGATTTGGGGACGGGAACGATCCTCCAGGGTCTCTGAATCAGAGCCAAGCACTGAACTGTCCAGTCAGAGGCAAATGGCGAGTCCTCCCTTCTCCGCTCAAATCATCCCAGACCCATGCCCTAGGTGTCTTTCCAAACAGCGCGAGCAATTTGACATGAAAATATCCTGCCACACCTATATACACAGCAGTGCTGTTTACACCTGTCAAATCATGGGACCAACCCAAGTGCCCTTCAACCAACGAAGGACAGAGAAACTTGGAGCACATATTCTGTGGAATAGTACACAGCCGTGAAGAAGGAAATGTGCTGGAATTTGGCACAAAATGGAGGACCTTGAGGTGATTATGCTCAGTGAAATCAGCCAAGAAGTTAAAAGTAGATATTGGATGGTTTCACACATCTGTGGAATATAAATATCAAAAACATGGCATGCAAATAATAGACAAATTTTTTAAAATGAACTTGGCATAAAAAGAGAAGATAATGGGTATGGGGGGAACAGGGGAAAGGATGGAGGGGGTGGGGCATGGGTGGATTGGAGAGACAATTTTTTTTTTTAATCCAGACTCATTTCTCATGAAGAGAGTACAGGCTCTGTGTTAGAATTGCCAAGAGGAAAGCAATGGAGAGAGCAGTTCCCAGGCATGAGAAAGATGTGAGGTTCACACTGTCCTCACCAGAGCCCACAGGACCCCGGCCCCCCTCAGCACTGAGCACCATGATTCACCCTCAACAGGGAAAGGCTAGGGAAGGGCTGGAGGGTGCCACACCGGGCTGGCTGCTTGGGGCAAAGAGCAGGAGTCTTCAGGCACTGCAGGCGGCAGCCAACCACGGTGACCTGGGGCCACGTGGAGCGTGACGGGGCTGACACGGGGCAGCCTCGGCCACCAGGCCTCGCCGCAGGCAGAAGCCGTGCGCTGTGGGCCGGGCCTGGTGCCAGACGCCCACGCTGCTCACCAAACACTGTCTCCAAGCCAGGACCACATCACACCCATCTCTCTTTGCTCTGCTGACATCAGAAAAAAGCAGACGCCCCTCTGATAACAGGAAGACGATGATGCAGACAAGGCACCCTTGCCATCTGCGATGGTGCGAAGCTGGGCAAGGGGCCAGAGGTGCCTGTCGGTTAACATCGCTTCAGAGAGAA